ACTGGGGGGGGCTTTTCTGTCTTAATTCAGTTTTTAGGTGAAGGAGTTCACACCGCCTGTCGTGGGCTGTGGCTTAGCGTTTTGTTTTTTAATGTGCAGAACCACAAGGACTTCTGAGCATGTTTTTCTATCCCCTCCCCCACCAGCAACTCGACAGCGCAAACTCTCGGAGCACGAGAGCCTCCCGTGCTCTGCGCAAATCGTTGTGTCCTTCTCAGACTAGCCAGCCCTGCGGAAACGCCCAGAATCCCGGCACAACTTGCACTCTTTGCGGAAGACAGTAGGTGTTCTTAGCTTCTTACTGAGATAGGTTTGTAAAGCAGCCCATATAAGGGTCTTGTAAGGCAGCCCTTAAGGCCTTAGGGATGGGGATGACATTTACTGTTATTTAAAAAGCCAGTGGCTAAGGGGTTGGTGTGTGACCTTTAATATGTTTAAATCATTCCCACCAGAAGAGCAGAACAAACTTTTGGTGTAAGTCCTCCTTCCCTCCACCCGGACTTTCCTCAGGATTGCCAGTTCACCGAGCTGGAGGAGGATCCTGAACCTGGACGGCGACGCAAACCCCGCGCCGGCGCTCACGCGGGCGCGCGCTCTCACGCACACACTTGAACGCTAAGCACTTCTTTTCCAAGGCTGTTCGCTCTTTCCGGGGAAATAAAGCCTAGATTGGAACCTTCTGCCGGCTTCCTCACATGGCCGTCTGGTCTGCATTAGTGTTTTTATAAGGGACTCAAACAAATCGAATACAAGGTCACCAAATAATTAACAGTTGTGAATTCCCTCCGTCCCCATTAAAATACTTCCCTGCTTATATTTCATTTTCCGTTTGCCAGCGACAACAGGGTCCGGACAAAAAGTGCTGCTGCGTTGATTACACCACTCTGCGGCCTAGGTCCACCCAGGAACTCGCTGTCTTGCATTGACATGCTATACCAAGCTGCTTCAATCGCGAGGAAACTGAGTAGCTCAGAATGCTCTCCCAGCCACGCTGCCCCAGCAATTGCCCTGCCCTGCCCTGCCCCATGATAATCGCGACCCAGAAGGGAAACCGAGAAGCCAACAAACAGGCAGCGCAAACTCTCTAGAGTCACTTCTGGGGTGTCAGGTTCCTCAAGGATGTTCCTATCTCCTTTTTGGTTTTTATCTGTTCTCCTTTTTGAAAGCGCTATTGTAACAATAACAATAACACAAAATTTTTAAAAAGTGTTCTTATTTCGAAATCATCTGGAAACTTAACTCATAGCAATATTCTTAGACTCATTTTGGTTTCTTCATCCTTGAGAGACTCCCCACCTTGTTGGAATTGTGTGGCACGTCTTACTACATAAGACGTGGGTCAGAGTTTTGTTTCTCTTCCTCCTTCCCACTCTCAGCCATGTTGAATTCACAGACGTAGGAATTGTCTGCCTTTCCTAGGCCTCAGTGTTGGCGGTCCAAGACTCCAGCACTAGTGGCCTTTTAATGAGTTATATCATGTGCAAACTGTAATTTCTGTATATTTAACCTCGTTCACTCTGATCCTATGACTGCATCAACATGCACACGCGCATTCTTTCTCATCCTTGTGGATCCAAAATCATTTATAAAGCACAATATGGAGGCATTTTTAAAGATCAGGAATAAGGTGATTTGTGCCTTATTCTGCCTCGCCCCTTACCTTATCCATGCAGTGCCATAGCTAAGCATGTAAGGTCTAGAACTGGACATGTGCTTCACCTCTTGTTAGCTATGTGACATTGAGCAACTTGTTTAACCTGTCTTCCTTAATTCATCTGTATAACAGTGATTATAGCACTTTCCCCAAGGACTGTTGTTAGAATTAAATGGAACAATTCATGTAAGAAACTTTGGCACAGTACCTGGTACACAGTAAATGCTCAATATATCTTCGTTATTATTATTGTCTCTAGATGTTTGGAGAGCAAACCCAAGGAGAGACTTCTTTTCTTGTTTTTAACTTGCAATAAGGTTTCCTTATGGCAGGAGTGGGAGAAGGTGGCATGCGAAGAGATGGTATAGAACGTGGTGTCTTTACGAACTTCATTCATTTTGGACAGAGTTGCTCCCTGTCCCCTACTCTTAATAGCAAGCTTCAGGCATAACTTTGGAGTTCAGGGGGTCACGGGTGAGGAAGGATTTTTATAAATATTGTACATAAGTAAGTAGTGCATGCCTCTTGACCCAGCTCAGGATTCCTTCCATTTTGTTTGCTCCTCCCCCTGAGAGACCCCTGCTCCTAGAAGCCAAGCTTGCAACACTCGACGGCAATTAAACATCCCCGAGGCCAGGCGCCAAGTTAGTGCGGCTGGCCCTGCTCTTGGCTGGCGGCGGCTCTTTCCTCCTTGCCTTGCCTTCCAAGGGTTGGGGGAGGGGGTGCTGGAGAGTTTTGCGCGGTTAAGAGTCCCCACGTGAGAGGGGCGGAAGTCCTCGCCAGGAGCCCGGGATGCGCGGCTGGCGAGTCCCTTCCATCACGGGAGACTAGACACCGTTTGATGTGTTATGACATGAACCCTCAATTAGATCGCTGAGTTGAAACACTCCAATCAGGGGCCCGATGCTAAGCAAGCCCCGGAAGGTCCAGCCCGAGGTCACCGCCGGTGACACATCAAATCAAAATCAGTGAGAGGGAAAGTGAGGCTTTTCCTGTATCAAGCTGGGGCTGTAGCCCGCAACGCACCCTCTCCTCCTCTGGAGGGGCCAGCCAGCGACTCCGCACTACTTCGCCCCCGCGCGGCGTGCGACGCTCGGCACAACCTTCTCAGTCAACTAGGGGCCTTTCCTCCGTTCTCTGGGAACCTGAGGGCTTGAAGGACACCGCGTCTTGAAGCTGCGGTCCAGGTGGTCACGCCATGGCTGGTCTGGCTGGGGATCGCTGTGCGGCTAGCCTGGAGACCTTGGCTTGAGAAGAGAAGTACCCTAGCCTGCGCGCGCAGGTGGTCCCTTCCCAGCCTCCAGCGCCCGGGGGATCTCAGAGCCCAGGGACGCCCAGCGCGGTGCCTGGGAAAAGGCTGCAGCGTGCAAGAAAGGGTGAAGTCAGCCGACGTCTGCGCAGGACCTGAAGCCCCCAGAACCCTCACACACTTGCCTGAACTCTACAGGCTTTGGTAGACACCTCCGAACAGCCTGCAGGGTCCCTTGGTCCTGTGCCAAGCTCACAGGACGCCAGTTTACAAGTTAGAGTTGCTGCTTGAGGGAGGGGCAGAGAGTCTTGCCATCTCCCTTGGGGACAAGAAAATGCGCTCCCAACTGCCAGCCAGCTTGGGCCTCCGGGATTTCTTCCCTTGGGGGAAAGGCCTCTTGAGCAATTCACTCTGAGCTTCCCTGGCCTAGGGTATTGGATCAGAGTAGTAGAGAAGGCGCGCGATTATCATATTTGGAGGGAGAGGGACTACGGAGTCAGGGAAGGGCTGTGGGGAAGATGCACAACACAGAGGCTGGGGACCCAGTTGCAGCGCTACGAAGAAGCCAAGTGTATTTGCAAAGGTAACTTCCTAAAATCATCATAAAATACTCGGCGTTAATTTGCCGCCCGGACCTTTCAGCAGCTCATGAACCTCAGTGACCTCCGTCTGCAGCGGCGAACCGAGCCTAAGCAGGACCCTTGCCCGCAGGGAAGGCTGCTGCAAGGCAGGGAGCTGGGGGCTTAAGTCCGGGAAGAGCCCGGGGCTCGGGGGCCATTAGCCTGCTCTGAATAGCTTCGAGGGCATTCGAGTACCCAACGCAGCCTGGCGGAGCAGCTCTCTCAGCCCGAATTCTGGCGCTGGCGGGTCCCTGGGCGACCCCACTTGCACTCGCCTCTGAGTGCGAGGCGGGGAACAAGTCAAAGCCGCGGAGCTAAGTCTGGGGTGGAGGGAATGGATAGCCGCTTGTATCTTTCTTTTTCTTTTTTCTTCTTAATCTCCCCCTCCCTTTCTTCGCGTCCCCTTTCCTCTTCTTTTCCTATTTCTCGCTTGCTTTTCTATCTCCTTCCAGGTTATCTCGTCTGTAGGGGCTGGTTTCGCGGCGCCTATGGATCCCTCCCTAATTCTGGGACCGGTGGGAGTGCGAAGTTCTCTCGAAGGCACTCGCCACGCTGCGGGGCAAAGCCGGCGGCATGAAGGTGGTGCAGGGCTTTCCGCAGACACCCACACGTGCACCCGCGCCTGCAGAGGGGACCAGGCACGGGGGCCGTGGTAGAAGCTCAAGGAGTGGATTGTTGCCTGAGAAAGGTGGATGAGGACATCCATGCACCTTGTGGGTTAAGTACCAACAAACCCCAAACTTAGCTGCCCTGCCGCTGCCCCTGGCCCGCCCCGCCAGTTGCTGCTGTTGTTTCTGCAGAAGCCGCTCGGTTGCGGCCTCTGAACTGCGGAGAGAGCGCTGCCGGAGCAAAAAAGCCCGAGGGCGCCCAGCTCCCGTGGGGTCGACAGCCCCACATCCAGCTAGAACCCGTGCAGCCGCTGGGCCCCGGTCTGCCAGACGAAGCTGGCGGACCCACTCCTATAGCCACAGGACTCGCTTCTGCCGGCTGTTCGCGCAGCGGACCGGAGCTTGAGGCTTTCCGGCGCTCACGTAAGCCCCAGGGCCCGCCCGGTCCGCTGCAACTCAGGCTTTGGACCTCGCACAGCGTACAATCCGGGACCCAGCAGCGCAGGTTCTGTCAGTCCCCGCCACGACCCCTCTCCAGTCTCGGTCATTTGCCTCCCACCCCCGTCCACCAAGCCTTCTCCGCCAACCACCAGACGAGCTTCCACCACGCTGCCTTCTGCAAAAGCCGAGAGGAAGAAAGGGAGAAAGGAAGGGAAAGAAAGAAGAAGGGAGGATTACGAACTGGAATAAAATCGGCAACCGCATTCAGAAACTTACCCGGTCTTGAGAAAAACAATTTAAGAAAAGAAAGGGGGAGGTATCCAGAGAGGGAAGGAATTCACAAATGTAGCCTCCTGCCAGAGCCAGAGCAGCTCCCTGGCTGAGGAGCTCCAGGGAGAAAGGAGTGGGGCGTCTTCTCTGCCACTTACCTAGTCCCCTGTCTACAAAGCTCGTGATCGTATTAGCCGACTTGGAAGACTGGAAAAAGCTGGCATTGATGCCCAGCTTCTCAGCGATGGAGTAAGTCCTGTAGATTGACAGCATGTACTCGTGGGGCACCACGCGCGGGCCCCTGCCCGGAAGCTCCTGTTCTTGGGGCTGGGGCTGCGGCTGCTGCCGGTGCCGGAGCTCGTTCTGCGGCCGCGGCTGCGGCTCCTGGCGCTCCAGGGACGCCCGGGCCGTGGCACTCTCCCGCGGCGCCTGCGGCATCTTCCCTTCCTTGCGGCTTCGCATTCCCTTGGCTGAGCCCAGCTCCGCGGACGACGAGGAGGATGGGATGGAAGCCTGCTGAAAACCTGGCAAATCCCACAGGAAACTGATGAGGAAGACGGCCGAGAGCAAGACCCTAGGAGTATCCATGGCGAGCGGGTGGCAGCGTCTCCCCGAAGGCGGCGGCGCAGGGCGCGCTGGGCACAGAGCGGCTGGACAGCGTCCGGGGCCCGGCTCCTCGGGCGGACTCGGAGTGCGAGGAGCCGGGTCCCAGCCACACAAACCCCGGGACCGCCACGCCCCCTCCCGCCCCTCGTCGGGAGGGGAGGAGAGGAGAGCGGAGGGAGGGAGGGAAGCGGAGGGCGGGAGGAGAGGCCCGGTGGTGCGGGCAGGAGGTGTAGGGGAGAGGGGCCGTGGTGTGCCGGTGTGGCGGGAGATGCAGCGCCCCTGCGGGACGCGCGCGGGGTTGCCGGGCGGGGCGCGCAACGCGGGCGCTGAGCGCTGGGCAGGGAGGGCAGGCAAGGCCACCCGGTGGCGAGGAAGCCTGGAGCACCCGCAGCGCAGAGTGCCCCTAGCATTTCCCGAAGCTTCGTCCCTCCGCAGCGCCGCGCGGGCTCTCTGTCGTCGCCAGCCGCCTCCACTTTTCTGGGAGCGTGCGGCCCGGGACGAGGGAAGTGGCGGAGGCGCCCCCAAGAGACAGCTCGGAGCAGGCGCCTCTGCAGCGGACCGCGCGCAAGCTCCGGGCGGTGGTACCTTCCTTCCTCGGCCCCAGGCTCCCTGCCGGCCGTTCGCTCCCCTCAGGGGCCAGCCCAGGGCCAGGGAAGCCTCTCCGCGCTCCAGGCGCAGGGCCCAGCTCTAAACAGCCCCATTCTCTCGGTGGGGCACGGCTCTCCACAGACAGGACGTCTGTTCCCGACCCTCGAGGTCAGGCAAAGGCCACGAGTCTTTAGCGTCTGGATGGATGCTAAAAGCTGCTGCGTTCTCCTGCAGGCCCCGGCCTCCCTTCGCGCAGTCCCCCACCTCTTCTGACGCTGGCTTTAGCCGCTTCTTTCCTTCTTCGACTGCTTCTCGGATTCTCTTCGCTCTCGCGGCCTAGCCGTCGCTTCCACTGCATCCCTATTTCCCTCTTTTCTTCCCCTCCCGCCTTCAATCCTTCCTCGTTCCCCAAGTTCCTTCTGCATTCCAGTCCCTTTCCCCAGCCTGCTTCTCTTCTCTCACTGCCCTCCCATCTCTCTTTGCCTTCCCACTCTCTCCCTCCCCGGACCCCTCCCCTTTCCGTGGACCCCTCCCTTTGCAGAGCTTCCCCAATCTGTTTCTCTTCAACCCAGCCTCGCCCCATCACGAGTTTCCTTTATCTGTCCCCAGATTCCCCGTGCCTGTCTTCCCCGCCCACTGCCTCGCTCACTCCCGGGCCTGAGCGCTGAAAGTCGGGCGGAGGGCTGCCTCTCTCCCACGGTGTTCTGTGCTCTGGAATGCGATGAACATAGAGGTTCCTGGTCAGTGCTGGGTGTTCAGCTACCAACCCCCAAATGCTCCCCTTCAGTCGTCCCACCAGTTCTGTGAGGTTGGCCTTACTATTTTCACTTTCACGGATTTAAATGTGAAACTGACAATGGGTGAATGACTTTCCCAAGGACACTTAGCCAAGAAGACTTGCAAGCAGGGACAAAAACCAAGGCTCAGACCTAAAAACCTAGTGTTCTTCCATTCCAGCATTAAAAAATGAGTCCCCAGCCCAGTTATCTCCATGTGATCTTTGCCTCTTTTCTTCGTGGTTTCATTTGATCTCAGACAATTTCCTGCCCCCATTGCTCTGTGTGTGTGTGTGTGTGTGTGTGTGTGTGTTCCCAGTCTCTCTACCCCACTCCTTTTTCATGCTTTTTCCTGTCTGCAGGGACCACTGACCTGATGGCGTGGGAAGGGAGTTTTGCTTCCCTGTTCCCTTCATTTCTTAACTTCCTGAAGTTCTGAGCTATACCCCACACCCTGGGTACTGGCTTCCCCCAGGTAATGGCAAGCACCTGAGAGAACTTCAGTACTGGACAGGGTTGTAAGCAGACTTCATGTATTATTTAATTTAACCTTCAAAACAACCTTAGGAGACAAATGCTGTGTTATACCCGTGTTAACAGGTAGGGAAACTGCAGCCCAAGGTCACATTGCTCCAGAGTCTGGGCCCCTCACCAGTGGGCTTTTGGCTGGCTGCTCTCCTCAGGACCTGCTCTGTGGCTGCCCCGCGGGCCCTACCCCCATCCTACCTGTCTCCTAGTTCTGATTTCATGTTTGTTAAGTTCTGAGACTTTAGACTCAAAGGTGCTTTGCCCTAACTTCTTCTTCCTTCCTCTCTTTCTCTGCATTATTCTTAACAAATTAGCAACATAAAAGGAAAGGAGACTGGATGAAAAAACATTTCTCAGATTTTTACCACTAAAACAAATCAAAATGTTCTTACCTTTATAGGATCCCTTCCATTTCTTCTTTATTTTTTGTGTATATATCATTTTCATATTATTACAATCCAGGGATAGATACTATGCTGTACCCTTCCCTTGTCACTTAATGTTATACCCAAAGCATGTCTGCTGGCCCTTTTCATCTTTTTACTTGGCTTTCTATTATGGCCAAGCCCATTTACTTCACATCCCTCCTCCTGGTCCTTCTCTGCAGGTGGGTACTACCACTCTACAGCCTGCACATACCTCAGACTCAAAGCTCCTCACTTCTCACCTGCAGAAGCAACATTTCCCCATCTGCCTACCTGTCACCCCTGGGATGCACATGGTCTTATCTGGCCTAGCCTGCAACTCACTCTATACATCTACCTCTTGAGTGTTATCCAGAAGAGGCTTCCTCCTTGTGGTCTCTTCATCCCTTCCCTCAGGGAAATGAACACTTGTGGTTTGTGTTATCAGTATTTTAATTTCTATCAGTATGGAGCCTGGTTAATGATTCATGGTTTCAGACTCTCCATCCAATGAGGATGTTTCCTGCCTTCAACTGCTGCCCTGGATGTTCTCTCTCCATTTTGCCCACAGCAATTATTATCTGCTACAAGTTATCAGTAAACAGGAAACAAAGGAATGAGCCTATTTGCTGTTGCTTAGGATCTTTCAGCACAGTAGATGGAATCATGTGTAAGAGCAGATGACACAGGGACAGGGACCACAAAGGATGTGGTCTGCGCTCCTGGCTCCAGGACCTCCTGGGGCATATGTGACTCTCCTTCACTGCTGCCAGCCTCCGCTCTCTGCAAGGAAGGGGCTGGCTGCCTTGTGCCTGAAAGGGCTGCAGCACGCTCGCACAGGTGAGCGCACAGACTGACAGTGGAGGGGGCCCAAGGTCACACACTAGTCAGGAATATAGTCAGGGCTCGGAGACAAGTCTTTCTGACCCCTAATCCAATGTGTTCCCGATTTTAAAAAACATTTCATATTTCAAATATCATGACAATGATCAGCAGTGATGTGCAAAGCCTTAGCTCATCCTCCCTCATGGATGTTTCAAATAGGAATTCCCCCCATAGTGTTAACAAGGCCACACAAGACCTTTTCTGTGTGTCTTTGCAGGTGTTGTAAAAAGAAAGATGCAAAGAGCAAACCACAAGTCACAGCTCTACCTTTATACCTTCTTGCAACATTTTGAGAATTTGACATAACCCACAGAATTTAAGTTTTAGTCCAGTCTTAGATTCTCGTAATTTCCTCAGAAATTTCGCTTGTGAAGAACATAAAAAAAAAAAGGCGAGAGTTTCTTGAGCTGAAGTGAGAAGATCTGGCTGGGAGTGGGGGACATTACTTCCCTTCTTGAATTTTCCCTCCCAAATAGAAGGAAATACAGACAAATGTGCAGTATGGTATGTCCTGCCCCCCTGTGGACACAGAGGGCATTACATGTGGAGAACCAAAGCAGCGCAGGACCGTTTTTATAGGAGCTTGCAAAATGAGCAAGGGATGGTGACATCTAATTACAGGATTTTAAGGAATTAGAGAGTCATATATAAGGTGTATGTAACATTTGGGAACAAAACATCCATACATGAGAGATACGCCTGCTCAAAGATACAGGACCAAAAGCAAATATAATTATCCTGTTACTACCTGAAATCTGTGCTATTTCTTTAAATTATTACTTCGTATTAGCCCAGGAAGAGAAGCTTCTCTTAAACAAATAAAGGAATTTGTCTCTTTTATTATGTCATTTTTCACTCAAGCGTCACTTGAAAGACAACTTTTATAAAAGTAACTGTAGAGATCTGACTTTTAGTAGGGGTGCTGCTCATAGGTAAAGTAACCATTTTTAAAGGCTCTGGAAAGAGATCCTAGGAAGATACTCTAGCGCCTGAAATTTACAAACTAAATCATTTCTTCAGATTGAAGTACTGTCTTCATAACGTCCCAGCTAAAATACAAATGTTGTTGATTAGGATCCATATTCATATTTTGTTGCCACTATTATTCTATTCTAAATAAACTGATAAACTGATAAGATTATCTAGCTCTCATCTACATAGTCCAAGAGAAATGAGAATTAAGACTAAAGCATTTTGATTAAAAGATGCTAATAACAAAAAGAACTAGGGCAGTGTAGGGTTTTTTTTTGTTTTGTTTTGTTTTGAGTGTTCAGAGCTTTTGGCGGGAGGAATGAGAAGAAACCAACCAGGTGGGGCTCATGTTGCCCATGCTTGCTTCCAGCTGAGCAGCCCTGCTTTTATGTTTTGACATTTCCATAAAATTCCATCTGCAAAAAAGGTCCCTCAAAAAAGAAAAAAATGAGAGCCATTGGATTAGAGGACTGAGCAATGTTCCTCAAAGAGGCTCAGGGGTGGAAAGCTGCAGTCCTAAGCACTAGGAAGAAAGGTGAGGTCTCTGCTTGCTCCAAAGAGGTGGAGGAAGAGGAAAAAAAAGCCTTAGAAGGAAGGGTACACATTAGATAAAACTCCTTCACAGCTTAGACTGGAAAGTGTCAGCCCCATAATTCCTCCTCTTTGCCCCAATTTACATTGAGACTGATTGTTCCGTTTCCCTTGTTTGTTTGTTTGTTTGTTTTGGCACACCCATTCTTTCACAGGATAATTTAGAGTTCCGTGAAATGGAATGAAGAGTTAGGCCTGATGGTAAAATACTCATATCCTTTCTGAGCCTCTGTTTCCTTGCTCTACAGCTGACACAGAGATTTGGTGGGTCGCATGCCTGCCAGCAGTATGACAGCACTGAGACTGGCAGGGATTCGAGTTCCAGTTCTGGATATTGAAAGAAGCGTGGATCAGTGAGAAGAAACTCAGTC